CAGAAAATCTGAGGGGAGATGTGTGAGTGACCGGTACAGGTAGTTAAGGCCAACTGAGCTGCGATTTGGTAACTAGAAAACCAAGGATTTTAACACTAACAATCCTTTATCACCACTAAAGTTTCTGTTGAATGAAATCTGGTTCTTCTCCTTTGTCCTGTTTCAGCTTAACCACCTCTTTTCTTCTTGCAGTACACACGTTTTCCTACATCTACCACCAGCATTTCTCAGGTATGGAAGCAGCTTTTATGTACCTCTCTTTCTCTGGCTGTTGCTGTTTGTTATGCTCATTTTTCTAACTTTGTAATCGGTCTAAGAGGACTATGTGTGTGTCTTTAACTGAAGTCAGTGTTTTAACTTAATAGTTATTAGTATGGTCAGTGTTTCCAGGACTGACTGTTGACTGACTCTTCCTTTGTAATAACCTTTGGGAAAGAACACAGTTTTGTGGCGTTTTTTTAAATGTTTGCTCAGTGTTTGACTCCATACAGATGTTGACTGATCACCTTTTCACAAGTAATATTTAACCAAAGATATTTTGCTTTTACTCAAATTTTTTACCAACACCTGTTTACACATCAACTAAGAAGCTGTGTATTTTGTCCACCCTGCTTCTCGCTGATTACCAACTCCAGAATAAGCCAGAAAAATATTTATAAGCTATAAAAGCAGCATGTTTACTGGATTCGAGAGGCTTGAATGCTTATAGAAATACAGTTAGCCAACATAAATGTGCCTGTATCCGTTTAAGTTGTTGAAGCTAGTCTTTTAAACCTTTACCAAATGTTTTATCTTTTACAGCCGTCCACTGCTGCTTCTGGTCCTCAACTGATCAGTAATTGTCCCAGGTACTTTAATTTATAGCATCTTTATGGTATTGATCTTTGAAATATTATTACGTCTTACGCTAAATATTTTATTTCATCTTTTAGCACAAGACATTGTCAGTATTATGTATTTTAACATGTATTTGACCTGCTTTGCTTTTTTCTTTACTTTGCAAAACTGTTGTATGAAAACAATAGGACTTTAAAGATTGTGTGCTATTGTAAAAGACAGTACAATGTTGTTCAATGTACAGTTAAGGGACGACTAGCATAGCATAAGTTTGCGAGGGGCTCAATTCAACACATATTCAAAGTAAACAGACCTAACCGCTAGCTAGCATTAGCTAGTTGTGTGTCCTTGACGTGACCTGTAATAATCTTTTCCCACTGCGGAGGCTGTGTTGTTCACAGTAATCTGCTCTTTCTTATATTGTTTTGCATATACCTTTGTTTTTCTTGTTAGTTTGTAGATCTATTTTTGATACTGTTTACTGTTTGTTCAGGTTTCTTTATCCTTATGTTTTGTATGGTGAGTATTTATTACTAATTTTATTGACTTATTTCTTCATTTTAGATGCAGTCATGAGGAATCCATCTTCACAAACTCCAAGTGACAAAGAAATTGACCAGAGACTCCACATCTGTCAAGAGCTGAGTATTTTTAACAGGTAGGATTCAGATGTTCCTTCTCTCTCCCAAACATACTCTACATGCTCACTGGTTATTTTTACGGTACTCCTGACTTACAGACTGGAGTCCATCTGTTTCTTTGTATACAGTGATGCCCCCCTTCTCTTTTTACAGGGCCACCACAGAGCAGGTATTATTCATGAAACATCCTCAGCACTGCAGCGACACTGACGTGGTGTTGGTGTGTTAGTGCGTGTTGTGCTGGTACGAGTGGATCAGACACAGCAGTGCTGTGTGCAGTGTGCACTCTGTCCACTCTATTAGACACTCCTACTTTGTCAGTCCACCTTGTAGATGTAAAGTCAGAGATGATAGCTCATCTGCTGCTGCACAGTTTGTGTTGGTCATCCTCTAGTCCATCATCGGTGGACTATTCTCAGTCAAGTAGTGACACTGAGATGATCACAGCATTGCTGTATCTGATACACTAGTACCACACTTACTATGTCAGCATCTCTGCAGTGCTGAGAATTAACCAATAATACCTGCTTTGTGGTGGTCTGGGTGGGTCCTGATCATTGATGAATGATGTGAAAGGGGGCTAAAAAAGTATGCAGAGAAAAAGATCAGCCACAATTTGCAATTGCAGAACTACAAAGTGCACATATATATTTAATGGACCTGATTCAGTAGAAAGGTAAGTAAATACAAGGCAGCATTACCTAATAAAGTGGCCAGTAAGTGTACACATATAATCAAGCACAGTGATGTAATTTAGTTTGTATTTTTTGTTAACAACATTGTAACTGTTACCTGCTATTCCACTCAATATGCCTGAATTGTGTGTAAGTTGTATATATTTTGCTTAGGCAGTTAATGCTGTTGTTTCTAAAGGATTTCTTGTGTAATCAGTTCATTTATGCTTACCTGTGAACACAGGTGAGCTTTAAGAATTGTTAATTTTTCAAGACATGATGCAGTATGTAGTGTCTTAATATATGATAATGCATATGTTACTTTCTTAGAACAGTGGCAGATTATTGATTGATCAGATGAGTTCATCTGTGTTGTACTTCTCCTCTTTGGTTGAGACTTTGCTGTACTTAGTACAACAAATATTCTTATGTTAGCTCAACTAAATATTTTAGTGGTGACAGATATCAGTCAGTAAAACCAGTCATTTACGGAAGTTGACCAAACAAGATAAAGATGGGGGAAATGGGTATGAATGCTGAATGCTGGTTTCTCGTATATTTACTACATTGGAGCTCAGTTTAACAGCAGAAGGCCTTACGTTTATCTTTGTGTGGGTATCATGCTCAAGCAAAGCATCGATCTAACTTTTACTTTGTTTTTGTTTTCTGGCTACAGAGAGGGTCGTGCAGGTCCCTAGTGAACTCCTGATGGACAATATATGAGTTCTCTTGCAGAACTGGTGGCAGTACACGCTTTAAGTTCCAGTAATCATCCAACGTCATGTCTGTAAGAGACTTTATCCTATGTTGAGCACCTTCTTCGGTCAATCTGGACTTATTATTCTTGATCAGCCAGGGCAAGAGGCTGATTCTTTACATGATCTTTATTCGTTCCACCGTGGATTATCCTATATATACATGGACACGTGCTGTTTTTTTCATCATCTCAACATAACTTTGTGAGTATCCTGGACATTTTATTGAATCATCCAAGAAAAGTTTCTTGAATTTCATCAATATAGTCTGTACCTTGGATTGTAATGGGTGTTATTTGTTGTTTCCTTTGTAATTTACCATAAGAAGTTGTTGACTGTTAAATCTATGCTAACAAATTGTCATTCCTTATGTGCTGTACTGTATTTTTTGCAAAGAAATACTGTAATGTGTCATACGGTTGTACTGTGTTTATCACTGATAGACTAATTATGTTAATAGTGTATCTGTTGTTTTCAACATAATTTACTGTATACAGATTTACAATATATGTTTTTTTTCATAGTAATTAACTGTAAACAAACAACAGTTCTCAACAGAGAAATTTAGGGTTGGCAAAAAAGCATACTGAAATGTCTTATACTTTTCCACTGTATATGTGTATTGTGAAGATCTGGCAACCACAGATGTAGTAAAGTGTAGCAAATATAAACCAGTTTTCGCCAGATATTTAGTAAATGTAAACACATTTTCCCCAGATATTGAGTAAATATAAAGCAATTTTGCTCAGACACTCGGTAGATATTGCTAAATTTTCCTTGTTAAATTAATTTGTATTTACTCTATATTTGTGGGCTACATTAACTCATAATGTGGCATAATATTACTAAATACAACACATTTAACTGTTGCTTTTATTAATATATACTTTTTTTTTTTTGCTTAAATTTAGTTCACTTATTTAATGCATTTTAACCAAAGTTTAGGTGAGTAAAATCTATTCAATTATATTTAGTCAATTGTTGCCATAATTTTTTTTAAGTAACCATTAGTCACATTTTTTACAGTGTATTATTACGATATTATAGAATGATAAAATATAATATTAAAACTATACAGGTTTCTAGATTGTAATATGTTAATGTGGAGGATAAAGGATTCGTCCCTTTAGAGAAAATAAAGACTAAAAGATCTAAAAATGATTTTTAGTTGTGAAGTCATTTTGATCCACGTTACTCTTAAAGCTACTTCAGACGAACAAAACAATTCTTATAATTCAAACCTCAAAAACAGCCTGTTTGACTTTTACAGTGTATGTAGTTCATATTTCAGCTCAGTTCAGTGATTCTGTAAGAAGAACTCAATATTTAAGATGATTTAGAACTGAACTAAACTGATTTAGAGTTCAAACTAAAACTTTAATTGAGTTCATTAAATAAATGAAGCTTTTTTCTTGAATGTTTGTTGATGGAAATCCATGATGTGTCCTGTCAGGCTGAAGCTGAGCTGGCTTGAAATAACTCAGCTGTAAAACTGTAGTATTGCTGTGATTTTACAGATGTAGAGAATCTTCACCATCATCACCAGATCTACAGGCTGGAGATCACATTCACTCAAATTCTTCACCTTCAACTCTTTAGAAGATTAAGATCAGATTTAATCTTCTATCTGTATTTTAATGTTTTTATACTTTTATTCATTAATTTGGTAATTTATATTTAAATTTGGTCTCAATTCCTTTGTTTGTATTTTACACTCAAAGACATGAATTTCAGTTTGAAATATTGTGGTTTCATCAAACGGTCAGACGGGGGCGCTGGTCTTAATACAGCTCCTGGCGGGAGTGGACATCGCTCAAGAGAAATGAGCTGAAGTTCAGGGTCTGAATCGGAGAACTGAGACTCGCCTCTTTATTGGTGAACTCCGCCCCGCGCGCAACGAGTCTGAACAGCGCGCGAGTCCAGATAAGACTGAAGTGTGAATAAAGATGCGCAGTTTCGGTTTTATCTCCTCACTACGCGCAGCTCAACTCTGAACACGCCCCTTTTTGTGTCTGTAGTTTGTGGATCTGCAGCTTTAATTAGTTAAGAACAGGATTTTTGTGAGAGTCAGCTGCCTGTAGTGACGTCACATATTAAATATAATATTTTAATAATTAATATATATTGTGTGTGTTAAATCGATGATCTGATTACAGTCTGTAGATTCACTGAAACTTTAATCAGAATCACTAAAATATTTAAATTCTTAAACTGTATTTTTAGTTCAGCTGCAGTTGTAAGTTTTCCGCCGTGCAGTCATGATGTGGAGGTTTAGAGTCAGAGTGAGAAACAGAGTCACTGTTTTTTCTACTGAAATGCTCCATCTGTCCTTCACTCCACATTAACATCATTTATCCTCTGTATGTTTTACCTGCTTTATCTGAACAACACCATTCTGAACATCTGTGTTCCTCATTTCTGTCTCTTCATCTTTCATTCTGAGACGCTGATGATGATGATGAGTTTATGTAGAGTGAACTTCTGGAATACTTACCCCTCACTCTTACTGTACACTCCTCTGTTGTGTCTCCATTGGTGACCTGACACAGATAGTCTCCTAAATCAGACCCTCTACAGTCTCTGATCTGTAAGGAGACGTTTCCTCTCTGCAGCTCCTGAGTGAACAGACTCACTCTGCCCTCGTAGCCCCTCCCCTCTGTCACCTGCCTGTTCTTATAGAGACAAACACAGTCCGTCCCCTTAAACCACCTGATCTCCATGGCAACAGCACTGATTTCAGGAGACAGGTGACAGGAGAGAGTGACCGCAGAGCCAGACTGACGCTTTACATCACGGGGTCCAAAGAGTTTAAACTCATCTGTGTAGAAACACAAACACACACACACACACACACACACACACACACACACACACAAACACACACACACACACGTTAATAGTTGTGTCTCGTGTGTCTCCACAATAAAAATAAACTCTCTGATTGAATATTATTTAATGATGTTCACAGTAAAACCTTTTGTAGGTTCTGGAAGTTTAACTTACTGTTTCTTGCAGCCGCCATTTTTATCTCTTTATCTCCTCCTACAGATTCACACTAATACAATCCTACAGAGAGAGAGAGAGAGAGAGAGAGAGAGAGAGAGAGAGAGAGAGAGAGAGAGAGAGAGAGAGAGAGAGACATAAATCTTCTCATAACTATATAAATTATATAATGTATTGTTTATATTAACTGTTTTTATTTTCCACTCAGGTTCGATGTTCTCAGTGGTCTTTATCCTGATTAGCATGATTAGCATGATGCTAACTGCTCTCACCTTCTCTGTTCTTCATACAGTCATATCGCTGCTGGTGGTGAAATATGTCCACATTTTAAATCAGTTCATATCAGGTTTTTGTCTATAACAGCAGATCCATAATAATAAGACCGAGTTTAAACTCTCCACTAATCTCACACACGACTCTCCCCTTCAGCGTCCAGAGCGGAAGAAGCAGCGACTACTTTCACTTTCACCTTCATTCAGTCTCTGCGCATGAGCGCCAGTCTGGGTTGCCAGATTGGTACGAGGATTTCCAGCTAAGCAACTTTTCCAAATCCTCCCAAAATATTCTTTGTCAGAAACAGACAGGGGGGCAGATTTGATCAGATAACTGTGACCAACGAGAAAGTAGGTAAATAAAATATGTCTACATGATATAAATCATTAGATATGACAATATTAAAACAAAAACAAACAATATTAATAACAGTATAATAACAATGTCATGTGGTTTCTGCTACATATTCAGTAAAGAAGTTCAGTTTTACTTTTCATTACAGTGACAGTTTTTTCTTGTTTCTCTTTCAAAATATCTCAGTAAAATATCTCAGTAATAATAAAGTGATGATGATTAAACAGAAAGAGAAAGGACTATTAACTGTTATGGAAAGTCAACAAAAGATCATTATACAGAAATCCGTGTTGAAAATGATGTGATTTATCAATGCAGGCAGGGCAGGTTAGCACTTCTTTCTCTTCTGCTTTAACTGCATAGAAAACATTTAGTGCTGAACTTCGTAGAACTACAGGAAATAATCCATTTAGACTTTAATTACAGAGTTCAATGTGGGAATATCTGTAAATATCTGGCAGCTCTTTCTCAACTCAGTCCATCTGAACGAGGCCATTTATTGACTTTCTAAGCTGAATAACAATAACAGGCAGAAATCTGTTCTCATATGAGGAAACTGAATGATCTGCTTCAGATGGCAGACTGTTTTTCTCACAAGCTAACGCTCCATATGTGCTCGCTAGACAATAATCCATCATATTAATACTAATAAAGGGGAGTGAAGTTCACTGATGGAGCCTCTTTTAGACTAAACTCAGTGTTACAGCAGAAATATTCAGAGAGAGACTCACTCACACCTTCATCATCATCATGAAGGAGGTTCTTCATCAGGCAGCCGTGTTCTTCACACAGTCTTTTGGGGAGAAGAGCATTAATGAGTGTTAAACACAGCTCAGCTAACATCACTACTGTTATCAGTCTTATCAACACTTTCAGACTCACAATAAAGCTCTGAAACATTTTGTTGATTTTCAGCAAAGTGATAGAAGTAAATGTGGAATCAAAAGCAGAGCATCAGTGAATATTACACTGTAGTTACTGATAACATTATAAAAGCTCTTTCAGTGTCTTATCAGTGTTTGTTTCTAAAGCAGAGCACTGCTGACACGAATGTAGGAACATCTTTATTCACTTTTCCAGTAACGTCTACAGGCCTTCAGAACACTGTATATTTCTTATGATATAAAATCTTTACACTTCTATTAAACTGAGAGTTGTTCTACACTGTAATGTTAAAGACTGAAGAAAAAGCTCTTTATGAATGAGGTTTTGTATTAAACTACATCTGGAGACATTTGGAACACTTAAACCATCCAATCTGTTCTCTGACCACAAGAGGGCAGCAGCATCTAAATGGAATGAACCTGCTTTCATTTCTTTACTCCTTTTAAACTGAGAGCTTTTACGGCTTTAACGGCTGTTTTTCCTCCTTTTTCTTTTCTGTTCTGTTCACCACAATCTATGAGCTACAAACCACAGAGAAACCTATAGAGTAACTGTCAGCTGTAGACGCTGCCTCAAAGTAACCTATTTGCTACTTTATTCAAACTTTTCAAAAGATAAAAGTGATGCAGAGGTTAACATTACTGACTTCAAACCCTTCACCGGGACAGATGTTTTCTACTCTGTTTGTGTTAGTTTTTTTAAAGAAGGCCTGCAGAGGTTCTTTTCAGGTATTTTTTTTCCCATTCAGCCTTTGAGTTTACATTGAAGTCCTCTGACAGGATGTGCTTTTTTGAGAAGTCACTGTAGGCGTCGTTCTCCTGACGTGTCTGAGAGCATAAGCCAGAGCCAAGAGGAACGGTAGAAGAACAGAAAGCCTCATCCTGAAAAAGAGAGAGAGAGAGAGAGAGAGAGAGAGAGAGAGAGAGAGAGAGAGAGAGTATACACACCAATATATGAATAAGTCGTTTTTTTTTTTTTTTTAGAAATAAATGTACTTGAGCCTCATTTAAAATAGCAGAAATAAATAAAGGGGCAAATGTACTTTGTAAAAGAGTATTATAATATTTAGGCTTTAGACTGTTATGATCTAAAATCAGCATCTAACAGGTAAAACTACAGCAGGTAGATCATATTCCCCATCATAAAGTGTGGATGTAGGTTCTTGTTTCCTGCTTTTTTATTCATTTCAGTTACTTTCACAAAAGCAATAAACTGAGTTTCTGGTTATAAGTTTGCAGTGCTGAGTGAGTCTTGTGCTGGATTATTGTGCTTATAGAGAACATATAGACTTCTGCTCATCTGAAAATGAGTCCTGATGAACGTTTCAGACTCAATAACTTTTACGCGGCTGTGGCCTTGTCAGCATTAGCTCTGCCTGAGGTGAGAGAGAGAGAGAGAGAGAGAGAGAGAGAGAGAGAGAGAGAGATACAGATAAAGAGAAAGGAGAGAAAATGCGCTCTTCACTCTGCTGACTGAGGTGCGAGAGACAGAAAGTAACAGTTTACAGTTGAAGAGAAAAAAGGAAAAAGACACTGCTGACTGAGGTGAGACACAGAGAGATGGGGAGGAGGGAGATAGAGAGTTACAGTAGAAGAGAAAAGGAGAAATGAGGGCTCTTCACTGCTGACTGAGGTGAGGAGGGGATAAGAGGGCTCTTCACACTGTTCATTGAGATGAGAAAGACACACAGATGAGGCAAAAAGCGGGGGCGAGAGGGAGAACAGAAGGATGGAGAGAGAGAGGAGTATAGATGAACAGATAAGACATACAGTAAATTATAAATACAGTAGAAATGCACACATAAGTAAACAGCTGACTGAGCTGAGCTGAGGACTGATAAGAGGACTGATAGAGTGTAATACAGAACTTGGTTTTAGTTCAGTCCTGACTGAGGTGTGAAAATATTCTCCTCTAATGAACAAAATAAACTACACTTTGTGTTTAACTCTATTGAAGCATTAAGAAGAAAAATAAATAAATAAATCAGACCAGCACAAACAAAGCTGTGTTTCCTTTAATAACATTCATTCAGTGTTGACATTTCCACAGTCTGAACCAGAATCTTTGCACATTTGACATTCTCATTTTTACAGTTATGAGACCGTTTTTTTTTAAATCACTTGTACATTCAGATTACAGATGGGAATATGTACATATTTATGATTGCTAATTCATGTTTAATTGCATGAACAGCATCAATTTTACTACTGTTGGCACATTTTCCTAGTTTGACCCTTTGAACCCTCTGTAGTTCCAGCCCAAAACCCAGCTGCTAGTGTTGTTGCTATGACTCCACAACTGTAGCCCCATTCTTCAAATACGGCTTTTAAGTGGCAGCTTCCTTTGATGCCTCACTTGACAAAAGGCACATTTACTTCCAGCTACTATCAGGCTGAATTGATTGTCACTGAAGGGCGGCGAGACTGAAATATCATTAGTGGTGTGTTTGGCTTATTAATGTTGGTAAAATCAGTAATTTCAGTAACGTTAGCACCGGAGGACGCCTTAAGCAGACCACACTGGACAGTGCTTGCACGAATGAGAGCAAAAGCAAGAGAGCTAGAGTTACAGAGGAGTTCGTACCACTGAATGTATATATGAAATATCTGATATTTACAGTCAGTAGTTGGAACATGCAGCCACTGTTACTTTCACTGGACATTAATAATGAAGATTGGAAACTGTGGTCATGTTCTGAGTGAAAGAGACTTTTCAGCTGTTTTATATTCTCTGCAGGGGCTTGAGGTCTGAAACACTGCAGTTTCCAAACCCGACAAAAAACAGCTGGTCAGAAGACTCTCAATGACTCTCCTGTAGAACTCGGTGAGGATGTGACACGGGAGTGTTTTAACCTGACTGTTTCCGCAGAGGAGTCATTGATGTGCAATTGGGAGTGATCACCACAGGCCTTCCTGACCTCAGGATTCATCTCTTTATCGCTGATTTTCGTTAAACATCAAGTTGCGTTTAATGAACATCACTTTGGTTTTATCTGTCCAAACAACATCGCTCCAGAAATCTTCTGGTTTGTTCAGATGCACATTTGCAAAATTAAGCCGAGCTGCCATGTTGGGGAAAAGAGGCTTCTCTTTCTCCTGAATACCCTTCCACAAAAACTGTATTTGTATAGTCTTTTTATTGATCTTTTTATCATTATCTTTAATAATAAACTGAGGTCTGAAGATCCTGACATGCAGGTCTGGAGTTCTGTCCATTTGTGCATAATCCTGTTGTAAATAATCCTGTTCACTGTAGAATCACAGACTACAAAATGTTTTGAAATGGCTTTATAACTCTTCCCAGACTGATGAGCAGCAATTCATCTGCTTCAATCTGTTCATTTAATGTCTTTACTCCATGGTAAGGATTTTCTGGAATTACACATTTCACCTCAGACCACGGTGAATGATGTTTTTAACATCTTATTTCCCTTTAAATCTGTATCTACATTACACCTGTTTTCCCCCAGCACAGCTGTAAAAGCAGCTAGTTTTATCCTGTTAAACTTGTCATTCTGATACCTGTCTTGTTGTTTGATGCAACTGACATTAATACAGTACTGTAAGAACATCAGTGTTGTAACTTCATGCAGGAACATTCAGGATCTGATTCACTGATTCAGATTTTAATATGTAAATCATACTTTCCACAGCCACCGAGCCTGCTCTTCTAGGGGAGCTCCATCCCTCCTCTGACCCAAACAGCAGAGTGTAAGACAGTAGAAGAGCTTTAAGCAGAGATAATCTGATCACAGTGGACTTTTTATTCCAGGATGATCAGAGGCTGCAGCTGCAGTGCAGGAACAACCATCATGTGATCAAAGTTACAAAGATATTAAAATCTTAACTGTGTTATTATCATATAATAGCCAGATTTACTCATAACAAGTAAAAGAAAGTCTCAC